TTTGACATATATCCTATGCCACGCAAAAAAAAAAAAAAAAAAAAAAAAAAAAAAAAAAAAAAAAAAGTCGCATTGGTTTTTCGTTATTTTTTTTTAAAAACATTCATGTTAGCTTCACTGTGTTAGGTACCAACATCCTTTAGAAATTATTGATTTTTTAAAATTTGATTTTATGACAAAACAGAAAGATAGTCATGTTTTCGATGTTTTATGCACTAGTGAAGCAATAGAACACTTGCTTTTTTTCACTGAGGCACATAGAAATTGGAGTGTATTTTGCAACGCGCTTCTCAAGATAATTGACGTGCGTCAACATTTAGTTCAAGATATCTCTATTATTAGAGATTGTTCTTTCTGACGTATCCGTATAAGTATCCGCATCCGCATCGAGGTGAGAGAGGCATCTCGATCCCGATGTCTAAACTATTTACTATAATTTCCATTGTTATTTGTTTGGTTTTAAAGCAGCCCCATCCATTTAATAATAGCATATGGTATTTTTTCTAATAAAAAATGTATTAACCTGCTGTAAACGTCTATCATTTCGCTGGAAAATGTTTAAGAAATAGATAATGAAATTAAATAAATTTGTATTTGTTTTCATTATATTGTTTAAAACTTTGATTGCAATTTTGTTTAAAAACATTTATCGGGATCCCCCTCTCTCCCTCTTAACATCAGGACATTTTATTGATTGATTCTGTAATTAACATTAGATGACATGAAAGTTACCCCCCCCCCCCCCCCCCACTCACACACTAAAATGCAAAAGATTTGATATCCACACAATCAATAAAACCTTGTAGCCGTTTTCTAAAGAGAATTTGCTTCCAGACCCTTACCAGTATATGCTTAAAAATGCCAGTTCACCCCCCCCCCCCGGGAACACACCCAAATTTTCATAGCGTCTGTTGACTTTCTTCATTCTTTTTTCAATGAACTATTTGACAAATACCTGTATGTCTTCCCTTCCCCTCCCCAGCTGAAATTGCTACTTTCGTGCCTATTCTCATACGGCTTGATTTTGCTTTATATTTTGTCCTTTCAGCAGTATTAACTTGAAAAGACTTCATGGCGACAAAAAAACATGGCGACAAAAAAATAGGTAATGAAATGAAAATGCAATTGTTAAATTTGATTTTTCCTTTTAGTTCTCTTGTTGTCGTACATGCGTATTATATATAATTCATGGATTGATATAGAAACTGTTTCATAATAGGGTATTCATTATTTTAACTCTCTTTTTAATAAGAAAGAAAAGAACTTTAGGCTAAAAAATTCCAAAACAATAGATTTATCTATTTCTTCTATGCTACCTTGTCCATCCAGCTGAGTTTTTATTTATTTATTTATTTTTTAATTTTATTTATTTATGCATTTTAGCCCAGATCGGGACAAGTGTGAGTCAATTCAACACGCAGTTTATAGAATTGAAGAGAAGAGGCTGCTTCAACGTAGCAGAGAAATAAAAAACACAGTATAAAGGATAAAATTTATACAAAACATTTAATTGATGAAATATCAGCATTTTTTTTTTTTAGAGTTTTGATCCCGCTTGTACACAAAGAATTACAGTAGTCTTAATTTCAATAAATAAATCATTAAGTAAACTTTAGTCAACATGTATATAAAGTAATGTATAAGACATAAATAAAAAAAATCTCCGTTTATCTCCTTTTATCGACAATTGTTAATTCATCCCCGATAAAAACTGCGTGTAATTGCATCACTTTCGGAAATAGTTGTCCTTTCTCAAGCTCTCTGGAATTTCGGATACGGCTATCACCTAACAATTTAGGGAATTTAGAGTCTTCAAACCATCCCAATTGCCAGCTTTCCAAAGCTTTTCTGGAGAACTATGTCCATCATATATAATCAAATGATATACAGAATGTTAATAATGATAAAAAAGAAAATGAGGATGGAAATTTTCAGTGACCCCCCCCCCCCCACACACACACACAAACGTACACACAGAGTATACAGTATGGTCAAATTAATCTTTCACAGTTAATGTATCCGTAATTATTTTTGTGGAAAAGAGGAACTTAAAACTTAATATCCATACCCCCCCCCCCACACACACACACACATACATATATACCCAGTAATAGGTTTTTTTAAAAGTTTGATTAATTTCTTCACATTTTTATTGTCAAATTTTGCTAAGGTGACTTGTCATTTTTTGGTTTCTCCCTGCCTCGGCCCAGCTTCCCCCTTCTCCACTTTGTTAATCAATTTTAAGTGTCTGCTTGATGTATACAAACTTATACTCATCTAGAATGTTTGATCTCTGACACCTCGTACAGTTAAACTTTGTTAACTCAAATCCTTGGATATATCGAAGTTTTAATTGGTCCAATCAAGTTGCATGAGATAACGAGCGTTGACTGTATGCATTATGGGGAATATGTCTTGTACTGGTAAAGGTTACTTCGAGAATGAAACAATAATATATCCTGATATTGAGAGAGAGAGAGGGGGGGGGGAGTCCCTTTTTAACCTTTTTTTTAATTTTTAAACAATTTAATAAAAATATACATACTTTTTTACTAATTTTATTTTTTTTTAAAATCCTTCCATAAAATGATAGGTGTGAAAAGCAACTTGATACGTTTTATTAGAAATATAACAGTAACTACATGTATATATCTTATTTTCCAATGAATGAGGTTAAAATCAAAGACACGATGGAAATGGTACCCAACGGTTAAATCATCGGGATCGAGATGCCTCTCATACCCCGATACGGATACGGATACGTATACGGATACGTCAGAAAGAACAATCTCTATTAGAAACTTAAGAACTAAAGCTATATGTAGCCATCAACAAACCTTTTCAAGATATGTCATTTGCATTATATATGCTCTATATTGTAGTATAAATACATTTTATTTTCGAAGTAAATGCTAGTCCTGATCGAAAACATTTCTGAGATTTTACGCTATTTAGATTGTCAGTTTATCAATATGTATATTATTTTACAATGTATGCTATAAAATGCATAACGAATCTATCTCCATACTGAAATTTTTACTCTCGGTTCTTCAATAATTTTTAAATTATAATAATAATAAAATAGTTTTGCCCTAAATATACACACTCATGTAGTCGACTTAAAATGAATATGTCAACAACTATTCACGTACTAAGCATGGATGAGAACAACCCAGTCAAATTTGAATAAAATAATGCACACATACTTGTTTTCTATCTAAATATCTTACAAAGAGATAAGTGAAGACTTCTAAATTATTCATATTCAACTGAGGAGAGATTTTGCACTTTAAATACATAATAAACAAATACTACTGTTAACTTAGCATTCACAAAATTGAAAAAAAAAAAAAAAAAAAAAAAAAAAAAAAACAATTGTCACACACAAGTACTCTTAAGATATTTTGCATGAGGATGCAAATATAAAATATCTTGTAGTCTCCAAAGTTTGATTTTATAATAGCGTATTGTCATATTTTATTTTTTCACTTACTGTAATAAAATCATCCTTTGTAAGCAATTTTACAACGTCATTTGAAGATTTTGTGCTGTGTATATGCTGAATACTTCAGCCTCTGTGGAAAAAAAAATGATTGAGAAGTATCAAGAAATCGTTCACGAAACATGTCAAAGAACATGCTTCGTGATTTAATACTTCAGTTTTTGCAAAATTCTAATGGTAGTTTTGATGGTTCGTGACTCTAGCCCCAGGCGTGCGGATTTTTTATGTTGACACGCAAAACAGCTAGGGCAGATGATGATGAAAAATGTTGAATTATGATTGATATGTTTAAATGCTATATTCTAAAAACTATCCATCATGTGATGTCTATAAATATGAAATCTTTAACGAAAGTTAAATTAACGTCTTGGAGTGTTCGATTTTGAAGAATGTCTCCCAAAATTTGGCAGTTATTTTTTGTGATGATTAGTTCCTTCGCGGGACAAATTTGTATGAGTACGTATTTGTTTTATATTTAAACAAAAAGACATGAAGGAACATTATCTATCAAAATTTAAATTAATTGCTGTAGAAATACATTTTTCTGTGTGGTGTTATTTTTCGCAGAAATTTGTCTCAGCGTATCTGAGGAACATTTAAGAAATATACTGGCACTCTGTGAAATATCTCCTATTTTCTTCCGCTTATTCAACGGATACTGTGAACAGCGGAATTATGATCCCGTAGAAAAAAGTACGTTGACAGTATCTTCAACTTCTTTTTATTTAATATGCACGACATAAAAATGCAAATTCATTAAAAAGAAAACATGTAAGTTGATTTCCTTTCTTCGATCTGAAACCTGTTACCTTTTGCACGATTTAAATCTGCTTATGGCATTTTAAATGGAACTTCAATTTGATTAAATGATAACAATGTTTTAATTAACATTTAATATATATAAATAGTAAATTATATTCAATATGAGTTTGATAAAATGTTTAATTTAATAGATCGCTTGCTGTTTATTTCATATAAATGTAATCAAATGTTTTCCGATACTTTTTCTTCAAGAAATATTTCACATATAAACTATGCTAATGAAATGTCAATATTTCATATGTGTTGAGTCAAAAAAGATGAAAATGTTAATTCATTATACTCGTGCATGAAAATACCATGTAAATGCTAGAAAACTCTTGACTAATTCGTTAAATCTATACATGATAGAAATTTACATATCAGTGATAGAAATTTATTTATATACCAGGATACACGAGTAGCTATATGTAAATTAATGTACATTAATTATTGTATAATTGATATTAATGCCATTTTATGTTTGATCGCTGGAACAGCCGCTGCTCAGGAAATCTTTACAGGTGGCTTTCTTATCGGTGTTTACTGATTGATTAACAACAATGGTTTTCATAAGAAATGAAGGAGATAATATTCAGTGGATGCAAACATATGTGTTTTACAGCATATGGCTTGCAGATATGGGTATAATGTGGTTACTTACACATTGACATGAAAACTTTTTTCACTTGATTTCCTTTAGATCCCATAACGACCTGTGAAACAGGGTGGGTCTCATTCCAAAGGAGTTGTTATTATTTTTCAACATCCAAAGGTACATTCAAGGAAGCAATGGTTAGATCATTATTAAACTTTAATTTTTTTTTCCATTTTTTTCTTTTTTTTCTTTTTTTTTTCTTTTTTTTTGTTGGGGGGAAGAAGAATACTTTTGCTCCCAGTCCAGGTGAAATGGTCAACCAAATATTTTAATCGATTGAATACCCCCCCCCCCCCTGCACATTTAAATTGAAACAAAATAAACAAACATATTTTTAACATAATAATAATAATAAAATAAAACCATTGTAACTTTTCTAGCAAAAAAGTAAACTGTGGTTATCAAAGTTATTCTTACTTTGAATATCAAATTGTAATGTTCTTTTTTTTTCCAAGCATAAAATGAAAATAGATGATACCGATTATAAATATTACTTGTATATTTACATGTTTCTGAGTAAAGTTCCATAGTAATTCAAAGTATCTATAACAAAAACTATAGTTAACTATATTTTATTTTGTTAGGATGTGACTTTAGCTACACTTGAGTTAAAATGCTTGAGAGAACGTGTGTATTACCTTATTTGTATTTAAGAAAAATGTTTTAAACCGTACTTTGTGACGCGGGAATTTAATCCATGAGGAGTGTTCAACTCAGTCAAAGGGAATTTTTTTGTACAATTTCAATGCAAAGATTTTACACTGAATCAAAATGTCACTTTTTTGTTAAAAAAAAGCAGGCATTATATTCTAACTGTAAAAAGTAATGCAATTTATTTTTGAAGGAAGGTCTCCTTTTTCAGAAGTTCTCGATAGCATGTCTAAAATTGCTACGTTAAACTCAACCCTCTAAAATAGATTAAAAGTTTCAAAAAATATTGATCGAACGTATTTATAATCTAATGCCATTTTTACATTATTGATTGCATGCTATAGGTGTTTTTTCTTACCTTTTTCAGTTGGCATGTTACCAGATGGGCGCAGAATTATTGGAACTTCAACATGCCAAGGAAGAGGAATGGTTTGATCTCCAGAACCGGTTACGAAGTAATATCTTGAAAATTTAAAGTATTTTTACACTGTTTTTACAATTACCGCTTAAATATACAGAGAAAATAATGAAGAAATAGTTAAGCATAAATTTTTTATTCAAGTTCTGTTTAATATATATAAAAAGATGAGACATATTTTGTTTGTAATTTGTGTGATTTTTTTATCTAAATAGCATACTCTTAAAAGTAAAGGATTGATCATTCATGAAGGTTAAAATGTAATTTTTAAGATGAAATGACAGAGGTCTGGCTTGGTGCTAGCGATATCAAAGAAGAAGGGAAGTTTGTGTATGTTTCCAATGCTGAGAAAATTTACTACGCTCAGTGGGTAAGAAGACGACCAGATAACATTGGAAAAAATGAGCACTGTCTTACCTATGACGTGGCTTTAAAGGGAATGAATGATGCAAAATGTGATAGCAGATTTAACTATGCATGTAATGAGCAGAGGAAAAATGAATGAAATTGCATTATTATATTTTTATGTGTTTTGTCATAATGTCAATAATGTATTAATGTCATGTGAAGTGAAAAAAAAAAAAAAGAATTGTTTTAATGGTTCTGATAGGATAAAATTTACATATATCTTATTGTGAGATATATATACAAACTCCTTTTCTTTTTTAATTTTCATAGTTGTTTTATTTTCTATCAAACCCTTTTTACTAGCAAAAGCTGCTTTGCAGAGACACAAAATGCACAGGTTCTATTGAATATTTCTAAAGTAAACCAAAGATTGCCATAGCACTATAACGTTACCGAAACCAATCAAAAAGTTACACTCTCTCTAAAAGAATATATAATCCCTCTCATTAAAGATCAATAATTAATCTAATAATAAATATTGATCTGATCGGAACCAGTTTGTTTGTATGATATTACAATGGAGTTTATAAACATTTTAAAATTACTACTCTTTTAACGTAAATACGATGATTAAGACACCCGAGGAGTATAGTATTTCCCTAGCCCGAAAGGTGGATAACTCATTGCATTGACTGAAAAAAACAATGTTTAATTTTATTATACGTTTCAATGATTAAATTGAAAAAGAAAAAAAATTGTTAAGCAACCCATGTCATCCTACTTGTTTCCATTTGCCAAGGTTCTAACCACATGCAATGAGAGAAACGTGGTTTAAATAAACAGAAACAGGTGTACTAATTTGGATTTTTTTTATTTAATAATTTAGAAAATGTAGAAAAATAAATGTCAGGCACGTAGGATCGATTTTAAAGAGGAAGACATAATAAGGAAAAAAAGGGGGATTTACTTATCTATTAATTAACTATACATTGTATATTGCAAACAAAAGTAAAGATGCAGGCCAAGCATATTTGACCTCAAATCAAGTACAACTTCCATAAAAGCCCAGAAAAAAAGTAGAGGAATTGAGTCAAATAAAAAAAAAAAATACTTGATCAGATGTTCATATTTCGTTCCTAAAGTGCGCTTGATCCGTGTGATTTATACATGTACATGTACCACATTTGATTTTCTGGATGTTCTCCTTTGCCAGAGGAATCACAAATATTGTCCGAAGAAGAAACATAAAATCTGTTCACTTTATAGGTTGGAAATTAACTCGCAATGTAACTATTCGCTATATTCACAATGTTAATAAATCCATGAATTCAAGAAACAGTGAATAAGCTTTAAATCATATTTGAGTCAAGCTTCCAGTAGGTATATATGTATATAACATAGTCATTTCAGTAATTGTACCTTTCATTTAATTATTTTAATTACCACGTTTCCCTAAACTTCCAATCTACAGATAATGTTAAATGGTCGTTTAAATAGCCAACGCTAGTTGTTTCATGAAAACACCTGTGGAAGGTGTTGATTACTCGTGCGTACCTAACATCACCTCGGGTACTTTTCACTTAATTTTATCGACGTTTTGAGTAACCCCTTTTTTTCTTTGAATTTTATTTATTCAAATGACTGTGAAACTTCCTTTAATTAGCAAATATCCAGTTTGTCCAAACAATACCTTCTATTTCCATTACTGGAACTCTTGAAATTAGAGGCGCGTTTGGTCGTCTGACTGGGACAACAATGACGTAGCGGAGAATACAAAACATGCCGATCTCAGTTCATTTTGAATGTTAAATGTATTTGTCATTCCGGTTAAAGAATAGAAGATTAAATAGGCATATTAGGCATATGTGAGATTGCAAAAGCTCAGAATTTATCATCCATTGATAAACATTACAGGAATGTACATTGTATTCAGAGACGAACCGTCAACACTAAGTCTTGTCAACAATTTCCTGTGGTGAAAAAAGTGATGTTGTGTTTACTTCTGTCAAGTCCACAACAATACTGTGTCTCAATTGCATGTTTGTTAGGTGTATTTTTCATCGACATTCAACATACTGTTTACATGTTGTTACAATTGTCCCTGAAATCCCGCGAGATTTGTACATTTCCTGACTTATCACAAAAGAGCGCACTAAGAACTATAACTCTTCTATGGTGGAAATAGAACGTATTGCCAAAAAAATTACTTTCTTCCAACGCACGAGTGTATTCATTTCGTCCGAGGGAAGAACTTACTTGTCTTGACAAATATCTTGTTCGTCCGCACATATCTTATTCGGCAGGAAAATGGGAATATTTATGTCTTGGCGTCACCAACCACCTACAATTGCATAATATTTTGATTCATAAAAGTTATGTCTCTCCTGATTTTAGTTGTCAAAATTTTACAAACTATGATCATAGTCAGAGCATACTGTAACGTACTGAATAAGTTAGGGTACATAAGCACCATATTCAGTCGATAGTGAAATATAACTTCATAAATTCACGCAAGAAATTGTGATGAAAAAGACGAATCTGAATTATCCCGTTTGTCATATAGGTTAGTTCATAGTTGGCCAAAAGCGTCTATAATCAGTAAAATATCATAATTAGAAACAGTTGATAAAGAGATATTAAGATTACGAAGTTTTAACCAATAGCCACTAAGATGTCTGTGCGATTTTTACTGAGTACTGAAAACAATTAGAAACACATGTTATGATGTTATGCTATGTTCAACCACCTCTTTGAATCACTCTATTGGGCTGGGGGTCAATTTTGAACTGGGTCAATTTCATATAGGTTGAACAACTAGTAATTGACCCCTTGTGTTTTTTCCTACATTTTGTCTACGGCCGGGGTTCATTTTGGTCATTTTTCGATGTAAAAAAAAAATGACCCCGAACATTTTTATGAGGGTCTTTATTCGTATCCATAAAGAGGTTTCAACTTCCGGTGACTTGCATATGAGTTTTTAATCGACATCATAAGAACGTACAATTTCTGACAATATTTATATAGAAATACACTAATTTCATATAAATGACTAGAGATAGATCAGATCATATGTAATTTGTATGAATTCAATTCAAAAATCAAAATACAAATCTGTTTTGTGTAACATCTACACGAATAAAACTTTTAATACAATATAAGAGAATGGAAAGCAGAGCAAGCTCATACTCCCTGGAAATACTATATACACAATATCTTGTAAAACGAGAAACTATGGCGCATTACTAATTTTAGCACCTTTGGCGCAAGGGTCCCTGAGCGCTAAAATTTATTGTGCGCTAAGGGATTTCTAAATATTAAACTTTTTTGTGTTCAAATCAATTACTTAAGTACATGTAAACCAGAACGCGCGATTACGTTATGTCGTAGGGTAGCTGTATTTTTTGTAATACACATTCGCACTGGTAAACTGTAGGATCGATCAAGAAAGTTCTGCCAAATCATGAATTAATCAGTTAATTAAACTATTGTTAGTTGTTACCCGCTACTTATCATTAGCACCTTCAAAGTTGGGCTTCTCGGCGTGTCAATCATCTATCGCCTCGAGGTGAAAATGCGATCAAGCATGGCGATAGACCTTGCAGACAATACCTGATTATGTTTACCTGTTATCCAAGTATCTTTTTTCGATCCATGCATGGTTTTAAGAACAAACTCGTCAGGTTTTCTTTTAATAAAAAAAATTAAAATCGACATTGTGCCGCGTCCATGTGATGTCAACACCACGGAAAAATGAACGAATGTTTACCTGTGTATGTGATTTAGAAATCAATGCTATTGTGTTTGCGTGCTTGAATGACCACAAAATCAAATACGGGCTTGGATAAAAAAAAGTATTACATTTTTTGATGACAAGCGCTAAATTTATTTGCGCCAAAGCATTCCCACTTGCATTTGCTCTAAAATACGTATGCGCCAAATTTTCTGGTATATATATATATATATATATATATATATATATATATATATATATATATATATATATATATATATATATAGACTACGTTTTATCAATTACCAATAGTTAATTCCATTTATATGTCAACTCGAAATATATATATATATATATTTATTATATATTTGTTATATAATACAGGATTTTTGCATCCCTGATATGAACACAGGCACGCGCCCTGTATTACACACCCTGTATCAGCACCCTTTATTTCACCCTTTATCACACCCTTTATTACACCTTTCCGTAACATCTCTGTATTTTTCATTCGGAGTACCTCAGATCTTTTCTATTTCTTTCCAAAGTTTATTCAAATTGTAATTCTATTTCATCAGACATATTATGTTATTCAAAATAATTATTTGTTTGATTTATAATAATTTCATTTCGTATCGCTGAATGCATTTATTTGCCTTTAAAAAGATTGAGAAACGAAAATTCAACAAAAACAGAACACATTCAATTATTAAAAATTCAGTAAATAATTTACAAGTTTATATATGATTTTAAGGACACTGTTTTCAAATATATAATAAAAACAACAATACAAGACAAAATCTGTGTCACACCCCATATCAACCCTCGACCAATATCAGCCCTCTGGCCTTCGGCCCTCGGGCTGATACTGGAGTCTCGGGTTGATATGGGGTGTGATACAGATTTTGCCATGTATTATTCTCTCTCTCTCTCTCTCTCTCTCTCTCTCTCTCTCTCTCTCTCTCTCTATATATATATATATATATATATATATATATATATATATATATCCCGGTGAACTCGAAATATAAGATAACGCAGAGTCTGCCAAATTAATCTCTTTCATATTGGATGTTTTACGGAATATAGATGATAAGGGCAAACTAATAACTAAACTGTTTGACAAAAGAGATGATTTCAGTTTTCTATTGTTACCGTTTCTTAGTTATTTTTGTTTGTTTGTTGTTTAACGTCCCTTCTGAGAATTTTCACTCACATTGATATACCATCACTTGCCGGTGCAGGGCTGCAAATTTAGACTTGTACTCTGCACTTACGGCCTTTAAGCAGTTAGGGAGCTTTTTCGTACCAGCACCTACTGCGACACGGGGACTCGGTTCTAATTTATGTACTAATATTTTACTTTCATCTGCAAAAGGTGTTTGTGTATCCCAACATATTCGATACTCAAGATTATGCCCTTAAAACGACCAACTTTTAAGCCGAAGCAGGCTGCTAACAAATATCTTGATATTAAAGGGATTTCAACCTCGTTTAAAGTTGTCTTATCGTAAATTCTATGTTCGTTATAATGACCTTGCATTGTTTACACAATCAACCTATCGTTGACTGATATATTTCAAACCAATTGTTAGGACTTTGTTTTTATACTAAATTTGACTACGGATTATTCCGTCTACTTGATCAATATATAGGGCTCAATGCAGGTGTGACCGGTCGACTGGGAGAGCTTACTTCTTCTTGGCACCTGATCTCACCTCTAGAATTTCCAGGGGTTCGTGTTTCATGCACTGTTCAGCATTTTTTTTTAGATCTTTTGAGATAGATCACTTTTCGTTATCTTCAACTAATTCATGAACATGTATGAAGGAGGACGGGACGTGATGTAAATCCTGTGGTAAAATTTAAAAATTTATTTCGAAATCAAGGATTATCTCCCTCATGCATAGCTCTGATCCTTCGACATATTTGGCTTCAATTCTAGGCATTTTTTCAGCTCTTCCAAGTCTTTTTCATTTAAAGCGACAGTTAGGCTGCAAAACGTGTGCTTTTTCATTCAAACTTACCCAACATATCATTAAGAAATAAGATATAAAGTTGATGTAAGCAGTTTGTAACAGAAGTATTCTCTCATCATACAAAATAAACGTAATTAGAATCTGCCGGAAAACCAAGGGTCGTTCGAACTGGGGCAATCTTAGTTCTGTTTATATGTACCACGTGAATTCTAAAACAGCACGTGACTACACTGTAGAATTTACAATTATAATGAATATGAGGTAAAAGCAATTTTCAAAAGTAAATGATCATAACTTTCCGATAAAATAATCTAAAATGATAATCGTAAAGATTTAAGTCTGCTTTCAGGCGAATTTAACAGAATTAAAAGAACAAATGTTGACGTTTTGTGTATTGGGGTCCGAGAAAGGAAAAACCACCATATCATACGTTATCGCGACAAATGTCAAACAAAATATTTTTCTGCACAGTAAAAACAAATTTTGCATTTTTTTTTTTGTTTTTAGCGTTGTCAGGGACCTAATAACTAGATTTGCGCCTCTTTTTGAAACGCAAAATACGCCCGTACGTCCCAGAAGTGGATTGATTGATTGATTGTATGTTGTTTTACGTCTCATTGGAGAATATTTCACTCATACAGAGACGTAACCAAATACCGGTGATGGGTTTCAAATTTAGACCTATACTCGGCACTCAGGGCTTTTGATAAGTACGGTTTTTTATCTTGTCAACGCATGTGACACGGAAATTCGGGTTTTATAAGGTCTCATCCGAAAGACCCATTATTTTCACTTCTAATGCCGTGCGCTTGGCAAGGGAAGTGTCAAAACCTATGGTTACGTTTTATGTTTGACGCGGCGCAGCGAACGCGAATCGAACCCGTGCCTCCCGATCAAGAAGCAAATGCCCTACCACTAGGATGCCTTGGCCGATCCCGGAACTAAACTTAAGTTAAGTAAATAATCTACGACTTTTTATGAAATGGCTCATGTTTTCAGAGGGTTATCTCTTTTTTACGACCTATTAACTCGTATATACGACATAGTATCTCAATCGTACGGCTCGTTAACTCGTAATTACAACTTATTACCTCGTATACCAACGACTTAGTATCTCGTTCATGAAATATATGGAGATAACGAACAGTATTCAAGCTCAGAAGTCCATTAAACAATACAAAATTGGAGCAGTGCAAACACAGACCTCCAAAACATCGGAGGTGGGATCAGGTGCCATGGAGGAGTGAGCATCCCCTGTCGACCGGTCACACCCGCCTTGTGCTCCTTGTCATGATCGGAAAATAACGGAAAAATCCGTCGACAATTCAGTGTGTGAATAATGGCCTAACAATATAAGTATGAAAAACGTCAGTCAGCATTTTTCTCAATGATGAATTGTATTTGCTGACAAGGTCATTGTATCGACCATAGAACTTACGAAATGATGACCGTAAACGAGATTTCTGATATTCTTGTTTCATCAACTTGTTTGTCAAAACTTTACTTCGTTTTAGAAATTGTACATACGTAAAGCATGCTCTTGCGTATCGAAACAACTGAGAGATATAAACTCCGTATGCAGGTGATGAAGGTATATTGCTGCATAAGTAAGGGAAGTTGACGATTGAAAAGTTAAAGTCATCACGTTTATCATAAAGCTTGGTTGTTAGATTACCATTAACGTCTTTTTCAAGTGAAATATCCAAATATGAAACAGATGTGTCAGACTCTGTGGTATCTTTTATGTCAAGCTCACCGGGATATATCGTATCGACATAAGAATGGAAATAGCCATTGTTAATTGACAATACGTCGTCAATATATCTAAATGTCGAGTAGAAGGCCACAGCAAGTGTTTTCTTCTTTTCACGTATACGATTTTGGACAAATTCTGCTTCATATGAATACAAAAAATGATCTGCTAATAACGGGGCGCTATTGGTACCCATGGGAATTCCAATAGATTGTTGGAAGACCTGGACTCCAAAAACCACATAGATATTGTCAATAATAAACTCAAGCATCTTTTTAATGTCAACTTCAGAGTATAGACGACATAATATGACCTTCGCACGACTTAATTTTTACCTCGTTATTGTTACTTATTTGTCGTTCTTACACCTTAGTAAATGTCAATTCTAAGATTTATTTTATCATTATTACGACTTAATATTTCGTGCGAACAACTTAGCATACGGTTATAACAGCTATTTTGTTATTCCAACGACTCGTTCGTACAATATGTAATCTTCGTAATTACGACTTATTTTCTAGTATATACGACTTATTTTGTTTTTCCTTCGACTTTGCCCATGTCTTTCGAACGCCTTCATTTATTATATCTTAATCATGACATAACTTATCGTTTGTACGACCTACTATCTTATACATACGATATATTACCTTAGAATTACCACTAATTATATCGTTCGTACGACATAGTATCTCGTGCATGAAATATGAAGATAACGAACAGTAATCAAGCTCAAAGGTCCATTCAAACAATACAAATTGGGAGCAGAGCAAACATGGACCGCTGAAGGCATCAGAGGTGAGATCACGTGCCATGGAGGAGTAAGCATCCCCTGTAAACCGGTCTCAACCGCCATGTGGTTCTTGTCAAGATCGGGAAAACGGAAAAATCGGTAGACAAGTGTGAAAAAATGGCCTTACAATTTGTATGAAAAACGTCAGTCAATGTTTGATTTAACGACAGATTGTATTTGCTGACAAGGTCATTGTATCAACCATAGAATTTGCGAAATGGTGACTTTAAACGGGACAGTCGATAATCCTTGTACATCAAATTGTCAATAGCTTCCCTCCTTTTAGAAATTGTTTATTCCTTAAACGGGATCGGGAATCGCTAGTGAAGTTGTTTACGTTGACGTCTCCAAATCGTGTATGGTTTTGCATCATGATTTACTGATTAAAACATTTTTTGATTGACAGTAACATGCACTTTTATAATTGAAGGTTACTATTACTGAGCACAATGAAAATCTGGCGCAGAATGTTACTGTAAAGAAGATCCGAGCCTACATTCCTTGGAATTTAATTGTAAAGAAGTTTTCAAATGAATAAACGATAAATTTTATGACGTATTGACCTATCGTATTTTGTATCATAAACAGACAATGTACATTTCATTACACGTTTGTTTAAACGTATAATCATTATTCTATGCATTAAGTGTAGTATAAAATGAATTTTTATCAAGAGATCATTATTAAGCGGTCAATAATTATAATGACCGGGTCATTATACATGTATCCCACGTGCAATGATTCCTAGATCATAATTGCTGTAAACATTACGTTTTTGAAGCCATTATTGAGTTTTAAAGCCTCCGTACAAGCCAATCAAGTTCGAATATTCTCAAAAAAGGTATGATAAAATATTTTAAATGTGTAACAGAGAATGGCTATAAATTATTTCGATGAACATTCATTTTGAACAGATGAACACTTCGGTAAACAATTGTTAGCAATACAAAGTATATAAATCTGTGTTAAGATAAACCACAAAACTTACTATTAATTTATTACAAAAACTTTTGAAACTAACATAAAATGATAAATGTTTAAGAAAAAATAAATAAAATCAACTTTTTAAGATAAAGCTGTTCAAGTATACATATATCCAATACATGAGTATTGTTACGTTAATGATTTGTTAAAAAAAAAAAAAAAAAAAAAAAAAAAAAAGAAAGAAAAGAAAAAAAATTGTATTATCTTATTTGATGACATTCCAATCATTGCATTTTCATGTGACATTCATGAATGGGACATAGAAATAAGGAAAGTACACAATCTACCTGATTGTTCAAAGTCCGATATATTATGAACACCCAGTGTCTTAAGACAGAATAAGAATCACTGAAAATACTTGAACACAGTCAGTGTGTTGGTGAAAGCTTGTCCCATATAGAGATTGTTCTCACCATCTATGCACATACAACGGGGATACTCTACCCCTTGTTGAATATGTAATAGAGACAAGAACTGACCGTCCTGATCAAGGATGTGAACAGTGTTACTATAATTTCTATAACAAACCAGAATATGACAAAGGACATCAGTACAGATTCCAAATGGACGGAAATTTGACTCCTGACTTTTGTATGAGAATCTATGTTTTCCAGATTTATCCACCACTACTACTCCTTTAATATAGTCTGATGTACATATATCTCCATTGGTGTTTTCTGTGATGTAGTCTGGTCTACCATACAGTTCCTCTCCCTTGTTATTCCACTGTATGTTTTGAAGTTCTTTTCCTGTCTTGTTGTATCTGATGACTTTATTATCCTCTTCAACTGTCTTCATACCCACCAGTATGTCTCCATTGATATGGGACGAGTGTATGCTGAGTGGTGTCCAGTTTCCAGTTTTCATGAATTGAGTGATATTGTTATCCTGTGTTATCCTATTGATGACTTTATTGTCTTTGTCTGTAAAGACCAGATCCCCACCCTGTGTCACTGTGTGGTAACCTTGAGACCCACCACTGGTTTTTATCTCTTGTATCTTATTCCCCTGTAGATCTGTTTGGACAAGATTACCCTCACTGTCACTGATCCAGAGTCTGTCTAATTGATCTAGTGATATATGGTGTGCGTTACTAACACCTGGTAAAATGAACTCTCTGAGCTTGGTGACAGAGGCAGATAGAGACCTTGTTTGTGTCTTGTCAGATATCTCTCTGTCTTCTTTCATCTGTTTATGTGTAGGTGATATTGCTGCATTGTGGGCACTTTCCATAGGCCTTATTTCCCTCATCTCTGCCTTTGTGTTGAGGACATGTATTTCACCAAGTAATATGGCAATATCACTTTTGCTGTACTGATCAACTTGGCATTCTTCACAAAGCATGTCTATATCTTTAGTGGGGTGGATCTTGCATTGTTGTTGTTTATGTTGCTGGTAAAGGACTACCTCATGGTTCCTGTTTTCTGGACTTTTTAGATGTTCATCTCTACATTGTTTGCACATTCTTTGATGACAAGGGTTGCAATAGAATTCGCAGTTTCTTTCACATCCTTGAATGCCACATTCCAAATAATGTTGGGCTCTGGAAGAAATATCCATTTTAGATAATGCCATCTGAAAATGATAAAATTTCCTGTAAAAAGTGCATTTATATCTAAAAAGTGTATACATAAATGCTCCATGAGTACTATAGCTACAAATTCAAAATTATATTTTTAAGATAACATATTTTCATATATAAATATTTGATAAAATCGCTCCAGGGAACAAACAGGAATTATCTCTGAACAAATTTTCTGTGACATTTCATGCACTTAAATGTATTTCAGCACATCTATCAATCAATTTTCCATCATAAATAGTATTTTCCTACTTACAGCTTTCTATGAAGGACCTGTGAATGACTTTATTGATTGACTTTGGAATGTCGAAATTGAAATTTTGAGGTAGACTTAAACCAGATCTGTCATTTACTTCCTGGTTGGAGATAAATATAGATTTAAATACCCGACTAGATATATATTCACATGTAAGGGGTTGTCCATAAAATTCTTGGACAATGATGCTTCTGTCAAATTTAATGGTTCCTGATATACTTATCGTTTACCAAAATATTTTAAAGGTAGAAGATAATGTGAACGATCCAGGGTTAAAGTGTCATAAACTTTGAAATGAAGTTTTTCGGATTAAAAATATTATTTTCTCCATAAAACATCGCCGAAATATGGCTGAAATATTGCCGACTCGGCGTTAAACAATAAATTTACTCTGTCTTAAAAAAATTCAGATTTCATCATTTTCTGATATCTTTGGTATCGCTTATTGGACAGAGAGTGGAAATATTAAGAAAAAAAAAACGAAATATGTTTCAAAATTTACAGAAAAAATGTCCGCCATCCGATTGGAACAGAGTCCATTCAAAAAATATGACTTGAAAAGGTTGAAACGACGTCAGAAACAAACTAATTATTCAAACAACTGGAAGATATTGGAATATATTTAGTTCATTGATTTGAAATTGGTACATACGATTTTTCAACGGTATGTACAATTCGAGAGACACTACAAATGTAAATATTATCGCACACACTTAGCAGTGTAGCATAATAAAGAAAATATAGCGTGTCCCCATGAATGTGATAACGATTCAAACTCTATGTTTTTGACGTTATCACGAAATTAACTCTACATCAGACAGGGCCATGTGGCATGTTTATGCAATCTACTTACACCTATAACTTAACGCACATGTAAAATAGTGTACACTTACATATTTTGAAAATAATGTTCAAAAATCTACCAGCACTTCATTACTATCCACAATTAAAATATGAATGAAAATCAAGCGATGAAATGTTACACCTATGCATAAGTGCATACATAACTTATGAGGATTATTTGTAGGAAAGGGCATTAAAAACGTGTAATTTTGCATAAAAAATATAAATTTATGAGAATTTTTTTGTGTAATGCAGAATCCTCAACAATATGATCCAATGAATATGATAGAACTAAGAACCTATTTCTAAGATTATGCATGAAGGAATTGCCCTTACAATCATGCTGACCTAGGTATATTGCCAGATATTAACCTTTGCAAATAACCGGTACCAGTACGCTGATCTATGAAGCTATGAAAAAAAAATGTTATAAACATTTTCATGAAGAAAACAAATATCAAACTAAATATACTGTACATTTCAAACAAATTTCCTTTTTATTTGTAAGACCTCTGGATATGCTTCAAAATTAAAGCATATATTTGAATATATTTATAATTGGTAAATAAATGTAGATTAAAAAAAAAAATCTGATGGATGAGTTTCATCCTCAGCTCAAGAAATACTGTAGCATGGATATATATGTTATGAAAATAGAAGAAATGATTATGTTATGATTAATATTGTTCAAAGAATTTAGAAACGGTATTGGAGATGGATTTAGAATTAGGTTTATCAGTATGTGGGACATATATTGTCCAATAAGGTCAGTGTCGCTCTCTAGGGTCTTATCACTTGTACAGTTCCTGTCATGTTAAAGACAAGTGCTCAAAGATTTGTGAAGGAATATGTAAATAATGTTTTCCAGATTATGCTTTATTGTGGGTATGAGTTATTATCACTATATTAAAAAAAATATTTACTTCTTGTGCTTAGGTACTCAATAGATATGGTCAGTCATAACCACCCCCTTTTTTTAATTTGAGAAGCATAAGAAATATTCCATCAATATCCAACAATTTCCATTACTTTTTAAACTCAGTATAAGGTTATGCGTGTAAGATTTGCTTGCAGATTTCATGGATTTATTTGGTAAGATATGTTCGTACCCAGTTTTTCTGTTCCATTGGGAATAAAAGAATTTGTATGAATTATCTTAATATCTTCAGTAATTTGACATGTGAACTTTTTATTTTTAGAAAAAAAAAATCCAACAGCAGTCTTTAAATTAATCAATGTATGAAATACTTATTTTAGACAAGGTTTAATTCTTTGCGTCTCAACTGCAGAAGAATCCTTTATTTCGCGATCCTTTACTATGGACACGAGCGTGTTTATCAGTTATCTATATAAGTCACGCATTTCGTGCTCCAACATTCTTCCTTACAAGCTAAGATTTTGTTATCAACATTGATAATAAGATTTCTGTTTTGATTTCGTCTTTTATAATCATTTTTGTACTGTTATTCTGAATGCAAACGGAAACATGTTTTTCCTGTTACCTACTTTGAAAATGTTCTAATAGAGGTCACCAGAGAAAAGTTATCATTTACTGAATGTTAAATCATGACACAATTTTCCTTCAAGTGAACATACTTAGATTACTCTCACGTAATCGACTAAAATGGGGGGGGGGGGGATCACGTAATTGAAGAATTGAAAACGAACTAGGTAAAAACTTGCAATCTTGTGGAGAGAGAGAGAGAGAGAGAGAGAGAGAGAGAGAGAGAGAGTTACTCATCTCTCAAATATCCATTCTGTTGTATTATTTCGGTAGGAGATTGAATTTTAATTGCAGTGTTTAAACATGAGATTGGATTTTAATTGCAGGGTTTAATTAAATTTTCAGGGCTTGCATTGTGCTTTGAACGCTCTATTTATGCAGAAGGTATGTATCATTGACTGCATAAGTATATTTTTTAAAAATAATCAATATAGGATGAGGAAACAAGTTCTAATGTTTTTAGTTGTACTATGATAAGCTGTGTTAACAGTTTAACACTGATGGTCAGATTGACCCTTTCAAATACTAATTATAATGTATATTCTTTTCATATATAGATAAAGCTTTGATTTATTTTAGAAATAAGGTATTTCAAACATCAACAGACATAAAGATACGAATTGTCAGGTGATCAAATATTGTAAATGTCGAAAGGTTTATTACTTTACAATAAAGATATGGTCACATGCATCTATAAAGCGATGAAATATCGTGATTAAATATTCCTATGTAAAGCAACAGTTTTGCATATGTAAATATAATTTTATAACACTCAGAATGTAAGCTCTTGAAAATCACATTTCGGAGAATTTAGGATTTTAAATGCAGATACCATGTTTTATAACTACTCATTTATCAATTCGTTCAAATTGAAAATTCCTTTAGTGTCTCAAAATGACATTCTGATAAATCAACTTAATAAAATGTCAATGCACTTTACACATTTGCTATAAAAATAACTCTGAAGGGAAAAAGAAAAAGTTAAATCCATTTATTAAAGTTAAATTTTCACATCGAAGAATCTCCAACAAATCCAATACTAAACTTTGGCAGCAATGAGACCTCCGATATTGCCATACCAGCAATACTGATGCTCAAAACAGGAGATGACGTCAGAGTACCTTGTAACACGTCATACAGCGAGGAAAAAGTCACCGTTGCCTGGAGTTACGAAACTGTAGGCGGGCTATCTTTTTCTAATCAGAAATGTAACATTTTTTTAAAAAGGTTACTATGATATTGCCCAGAAACATTCAACAGATCGGTAGAGATCTAGTAATAACTGGCATTACTAATACAGACTCCGGAATATTTTTATGTCATGTGATTTATGGTGTCGAAGTCTCATATAAACTACTTGAAATTATCGTTGGTAATTATTATGCTTTATATTTTTTCTTTAAAAATGATTCCTGCTGCTTTTCTTCAGCTGATCAGCTGAAAACAAAATAAAAAATTCCAACCATTATGATATGAATGTTAAACAATAAAATGCTTTCTTTGGTTGTTAGTACGGGAATTAATGTCGCAGCTGTTGCAGAAAAAATACATAACCTGCGTAAGCGGGTTATGTGAATTTTTTTCTGCAATAGCTGCGACATTAATTCCCGTACTAACAACCAAAGAAAGTCATTTTATTGTTTATATTTATATCTGTATAAAAAAAACATTCAAAGTAAAATTAAACATGCTAAATAATGTATTATAGAAGTGTATGACATTGTAGTATAATTGATGGAACAGCCGTTGCTCAGGAAATCTATGCAGGTTGCTTGCTTAGTGTTGTTTACTCACTGATAAACGGCAATGGGTTTCTTAAGAAATAAAGGAAATAATATTCAGTGGATGTAAATATATAAAGATGACACTCCATCCGTAATATTCTTTTTTTCTGTAATATCAATCTGCGATCTAAGTATCAATATTAACATAAACAATATGCAGATTTATACATGTATCCCCCTGTTTACTAATATTCTTACATGTTTGTGAATTTATTTCTGTATGAAATTAATGTTTGCTTTTAATTTAGAGTTAGAATAATTTAAATCTTGTAGATATATATCAGAATTTTTTTTTTCGGAAAAGCATCCATTTTACCGCCTAACCCCCATAACCTTACCAACATGTAATTTCTCAAGTCTGATAAAAAGTTTGTTACATGTATCGGGAATTCCATCTTTTAACTAAAAATGCTGGATATATTACTTTCATCTAAAGATTTTCATTACGTGATCATGAGCACCATATGATCAACCACAAAATGTTACATAATTTTC